GAACATAATAACTTCTTCCATGGGTCTTCAATCACCACGGAGGGCGAGAATATATCTAAGTCATGCAGTTTACGGGAGGTGCAAGCTGTCATGGATATAGAGGCTGATATTATTGTGCCAGCGTGAGGGCAGAGACAGAAAGAAGACACTGGTTTCTTGAACAACTCACCTACATAATAATTATTATAATCGAATCCACAGGGAGCGCTCGTACTTTGATCCATCAGGACGGGAAGAATCTTCAAAGCACTCTCAAACACGGAGTTTTACAGTGGGCAGCCAATTTCACAGCCATTATGAAGGCCCTCGACGACTACAGGAGATTTGTAGAGGAAAGAACAAGGAGTAAAGAGCGACAACAATCGCTTGAAGAAAAAGCAAAGAAAAACTGCTCTCTCTCCAGTCATTTAGATGCTGTTGCCTTTGACAACTGGTTCCATCCAGAGGACGCGACTTTTGTTTGTCCCCAGTGCTCTCCGTTGCTATGCGTATCGAAGGGGCCGTGACGTCACACTTAACAGCCCCATTGCGTGTGTGCGTGTGTCAGAGGGTTGTCACGTGATATGCTACACGTCTGCACGATGTCATCGCGCTCTGCACAGACCGAGACCATAAAAATGTGTTGTTTACCTAGTCATTGGTGACAAGAATCACATTCACACATGTAGACTACACACATAATGGGGGACCTACCCCATTCCCACATAACAACACTACCTGGAACCAATCACGATTCAATGCTACGCTCTTCTCATCAAATAGGGACAAAGAGCTGATGACATCATGTCCTAGGGCACAGTCCCATACAGAGTCCCAGCCAGACCAGGGTGGTGTCGGTGTTGTCAATCTGATTGTCGTAAAATTCTATTTTATAACTGGTTGTTGCTAAAAACATGTCACTATAATGACATGGATATGGCGGCTCTGAGCAACTTGACAATAGGGCTTGAAAGTGCTACGTCACAGCATAGCAACAATTTCAAAAATTCAAAAATTGGATCCACTTGGATCCAGCTTTTGTATGGATCCAAGCACATTTCAAGCGGGCTTACCCACAGCATGGTGATGTAGCCAGTGAAACTGACTGATTTGGCTACTGGGGGCGGGGTTACAACTGGTGGCGAAATAAAAGTCACACCTGCATGCGACATGAGTGGGTTGCTATGCACCCACATACTTAGGCAATAGCAAAGTCACACCTTAGTGGATCAAAAAATAGAAATCTGCTGTCAACTTACTACTCCCTGGCCGTTTTGACGTCATCACTTTCAAGCCCTATGACAATGCAGACACTGTACTCGTAGTGAGTTGCTTGAGTGTGGTCTTTGGTGTGGTACGTCTTGCGTGTGGTTTGGTGTAGTACTCAGCAACAGACTGTACATTCGGGTGTTCGTGCGTGAGCAGGTCTACTGTATGTGTAAGCATGTAATGGTGTGTTGGAACCTTGGACTTGGAGGGCTGTTGCTGTTGTTGTTGCTGTCTTTTCGTCCGGCATGTGAATCTGCGTGAAAATCAACCTGTAGTATGTTTTTTGCCAGTAAAAAGGACTAAAGTACTTCCACCTCCACCAAATGCGCTCTCTGGCCAACCTCACACACCAGCAACACGAATCCAAGGCTTTTGGTGGAGCGCGCGTTTGGTGAATGTGTAATTAATTATTTGATAATCAAGCCGAAAGCTGCTGCTTGTCCTTTAAGAACGTAAAAAGGTTTGTCCTAGTAAACAAATACAGCATAACGTAAAAAGGTTTGTCCTAGTAAACAAATACAGCATAACGTAAAAAGGTTTGTCCTAGTAAACAAATACAGCATAACGTAAAAAGGTTTGTCCTAGTAAACAAATACAGCATAACGTAAAAAGGTTTGTCCTAGTAAACAAATACAGCATAACGTAAAAAGGTTTGTCCTAGTAAACAAATACAGCATAACGTAAAAGGTTTGTCCTAGTAAACAAATACAGCATAACGTAAAAAGGTTTGTCCTAGTAAACAAATGCATGTCATGAAAATAAATCCGAGAAGAAAGAAAAAGGCCCAACCCTGCCCTGCCAGTTATTTGGACTTATGGGGGTCGCCATGGCAAATAATAAACATAAAACTGCACACGTTCGGGCTCTCCGCCTTCTCCGTGAAATTATAATACCGTAAAAGAAAACTAGAGGGGAAAAAAGAAGCAACAATGAGGAATAGGAACTGATTTAGGAACCACTTGCAGTCAGTTACACAGGGCAACGGGCCTCGGCAACGGCCAAGGTAGCAGATGCATCCGCCACATCGCTGACGCGCATGGGGCGTCGCCGAGCACCACGCAAACAAACCATGCTGGAGCGAACCAGAGCAAAGCCAACAAATACAGCATAACGTAAACAGGTTTGTCCTAGTAAACAAATACAGCATAACGTAAAAAGGTTTGTCCTAGTAAACAAATACAGCATAACGTAAAAAGGTTTGTCCTAGTAAACAAATACAGCATAACGTAAAGAGGTTTGTCCTAGTAAACAAATACAGCATAACGTAAAAAGGTTTGTCCTAGTAAACAAATACAGCATAACGTAAAAAGGTTTGTCCTAGTAAACAAATACAGCATAACGTAAAAAGGTTTGTCCTAGTAAACAAATACAGCATAACGTAAAAAGGTTTGTCCTAGTAAACAAATACAGCATAACGTAAAAAGGTTTGTCCTAGTAAACAAATACAGCATAACGTAAAAAGGTTTGTCCTAGTAAACAAATACAGCATAACGTAAAAAGGTTTGTCCTAGTAAACAAATACAGCATAACGTAAAAAGGTTTGTCCTAGTAAACAAATACAGCATAACGTAAAGAGGTTTGTCCTAGTAAACAAATACAGCATAACGTAAAAAGGTTTGTCCTAGTAAACAAATACAGCATAACGTAAAAAGGTTTGTCCTAGTAAACAAATACAGCATAACGTAAAAAGGTTTGTCCTAGTAAACAAATACAGCATAACGTAAAAAGGTTTGTCCTAGTAAACAAATACAGCATAACGTAAAAAGGTTTGTCCTAGTAAACAAATACAGCATAACGTAAAAAGGTTTGTCCTAGTAAACAAATACAGCATAACGTAAAAAGGTTTGTCCTAGTAAACAAATACAGCATAACGTTAGAAGTTGTACTTAAGACTACAGACTGTACTTTGTACTTGTACAGAGTTTTCCCTTCAATCGTCGTGACGTCATTACACATAACACTACACATAACAACCCAGTGGCATTGAGTTCAGAATGGAAACTTTTACCAATAGAATACACAGTCTTGAGATCCAGAGTCAGCTCCTGAAGGGTGGTATGGCCCCAGGTCGGTTACAGGGACACTGATTTGCCAAAACCCAATTTCAGCAACTCTGTGCGGTATCATATCTGGCAGTTCCAGCTACATATTGGGCCTCCAGCCACAGACACAGCTACCACATCTACAGTGGATCACGTTAGGAAATCATTTCCTTCTTACATGACGTGACAGGCAGGCATAGTGGGATGGTCGAAGACCATGATTGAGAAACAGAGGGCACCAGGTTCAAGTCCTGCTTGGAAGCGGAAGGAATTTTTCCAGCCGTGCTGCGACCCACAGTTAATTGGGAACTCGTGGCCTGGCACGAGGGTAACATGGATGCAGCTAATGGGATTTCGGTCTTTGACCACTTGGTGGTGGGTCTGATCTACTCACCTCCCACCGTTTAGGCGCTGCATCTGCGCCTTTGATCCTAGAGGGTGGTGGCGTTCCCACGGCGGATGCGGAAAACTCGGCTTCCAGCACGCGAACCGTGACATTTATTTTATTTTATTTACATGACGTGTAGAAAAAGACATATTGTCAGAGATTCTCCCACATATCCACTATGAGATGAACAGCAATGTAGAATACAGACAGCACTGTATGTCAACTATGCTACACATCAACACTGTCTAACTGCATCGTCACACAATCAACCACTACATTGACTAAGAGTGGTCACGTGACATTCATGGACATCATCATTGCTAGTCATCTACGTAGAACACAGAAACGCGTGCACAAGCATAGTCAACTTACGCTCAGCAACATGGCCAAAAATTCCTTTTGTAAAATATTTTCTAAGTTCCTTCATCGTTAGTACGTATAAGCAGTTTTGTACTCACTAAGATCTGTGTTGAGATGATGAGCCGACAAAGTACCAAACATTTCAGTGAGTCTGTACCTCTACGCACAGTATCAAGTGTAGCACATACATGTACATGTAGCATAAGTACAGCTGGACAGCGTTTACCAATATCTATACTCACTCTACAGAGTTTGGACAGATTTCAATGTTTGCCAAATTAAAGACTGAAAATGGCCGGAGAAACGTTCTTTACTGGTATGGAGTCATAGTTTCACGACATTCCTGTTTAGCCATTGCTGTTGGAAATGAACAGATCTGGGTAGTGTGGTTTGAACACAAACTCCGTAACTACACGTACCTGATTGTAGTATGAAAGTTTCACGATGACAGTGTGAACAAGGTGGACTACCCACTGTATGGGAAAACACTACTCCAGGCTCACTGCAACCATACACCGGTTGCCGGGTAGGGTCTCGATCTTGTGCCCATTTGAACCGCATGGGGCTATGCCCCTGTTCAGACACTCATTACTCTATTGGAGCATTATAGGAATATTCCCTGATCTCGTGGTTCAAATTGTCGCAAGACCGGGCCCGCCAACCAGTTTATGGTTTCAGTCAGGAACACTGTTTTCCTATACTGTGGGTCCTCCACCTTGTTCACGCTGTCATCGTGAAACTTACATGTTAGTCCC